TATGTATTAACATGAAGCAATAATCGTGAAAATCGATTCACGAGTCTGGGCTGTTTCACTGCCAGTTTCGCCATCATTGTTCGAAGTCCGGCACAGTAAACATTTGCTGTTATTGCCTGTCCAGATCTGAGAAAACTATAGTGAATAACACCATGAAACGACCACCAAACAGTTACCATTACCTTTTAATTGGTAAGCTTTGCTTTAGGACACTGTTGCGGCGTTTGACCTGGGCTCAGCCATTGCATTTTTCGCCTGCGGTTGTCGCAAACAATCCATTTTTCGTTACATGTCACAATTCGATCCAGTATTCCTTCATTTCTGTACCGATTCAACAAAGCAACATAAGTTTCAACACGCTTCAATTTTTCATATTTTCTTTTATCTTATTGATTTTATGCTAAAGGGTCAAAATTGTAGGTATGGTAATGTTAAACCATGCCGCTAATTCCTGGGTAGTTTGACTCGGATCGGCTTTCACCATCTCCTTCAATTCAGAGTTCCTGGGTCTTCCACGTGGTTCTATCCTCATATCGAAGTTTTCATTACGAAAGCGTTTAAACTAAAAACACACGGTGCGTTTATTAGCAGTCTCCTCTCCAAACGCAGCGTTGATATTAAGAGCCGTTTATGCCGCGTAAGTTCGTCGTCGGAATTCTCATTCAAAAATGACTCGGATTTTCAAAGCATCCATCTTTCACGTCTAAGATGAATAAAAAAAACAGAAATTGAAAGTCGAAAATCGAGTTTTGCACATTTTTAAAAAAAAGAACATCGTAGGTCTTTTGTAAAAAAAGTTTTTCACGAAAATCTCACACCATGAAGGTATTATGTTTTTTTTTTCTTAAAAAGAACTCCCGCATTAGGAATAAATCCTGTGTCACAGGGGACTTTACAAACATACCTACATGAAACGGACACAAAGGAAACCCAGGCTCAGAACAACAATTTGTGGATCACACAAAGTATCGTCCTATGTGGGGACCCACAACACTGAACGTTAAACCACTACGCCATACGTGCAGTCAGTATGTGAATTCAAAGTATCCATAACTATACAACAGCAATTTTATACGTTAACCCGTATTATATATGTACAAGTAGGCACTATAACAGATGGTACACAAGATGTACCACACTTCGTAAAACACATTCGTTATATGACACAGCTGTAACAAAGTTGTTGCTGTGTTTACCATTGTTTATCATGAGGCTTTGTTGAATCCGAGAATTGCGTAGGTTTTTAGGGTACCGTACCTCAAAAGGAATAAACGAAACCTTTATAAGATTACTTTGTCGTCTGTCTGTGAAGACGTTTTATATCGGGAACACGTAAAGTTTTCGAGTTGAAATTAAAACCGTATACTCGGGTCTATAGTTCTTTGAAGGTGTGAAAAAATCAAACTTCTACACCACAAAAACGCGTATTTAGACACTCTCAAGGTCATCGTTATTACTACTACTAACTTACTAAATCTACAGGGTACTTCCCGTTAACCTAGAACTATGAAATTTGTCGAGTAACATCGTCTTATACTACAAATATAGGGAAAAATCTGAAAACTATACATTTGTAATTAAATCATAAAAAATATAGTCTTTATTGAAAGTACGTATCAATCATCGTACATAATCGTACATAACATCATCATCGTACGTAATCAATCATCGAGGTACAATTTCTCTTATAAAACATAATAATATAAGTAATTATAGGTTTTGGAAACTGAATTTCGGAAAAAGCACGAAAAAACTGAGAGATTTGATTCCTGAACTATTTATAATATTTTGACAAAACAGAGATTGTTGCTATTGTGTGTGTGTTGATCTACGACTTAGAGTCTACATACGTAAAAAACGATTTCAAATAATTGTAATTTTTTTATGAAATAAAGATATTTTGAATTGAATTGAATATGTCTATTAATATTTCTACAAATTTGTACGGAACCCACGATGGGCGAGTCCGACTCGCCCTACCCTGGATATTTTATTTATAGTATAATATTAGATACCAGCTTTTAACGTATGTACCAGTATTAGTTATCATGCTCAAAAAAAGTAGGTTTTCAATTCGTTTGTATTTTTTCTGTTTGTTATCTCAGAATTCTGTCATTCACGATACCATTTGGAGAATTTTTTTACTTAATTGGCTATACTTACGTTTTGTTACTTTCAAATTTGATGAAAAATGCCACTCCTTAGAGATGTAAATTAACTAAAGAAGAATACAGTTTTTTAAAATCCATCATCACCTATGCATACTAATATATGAAGGTGATACTTTTTTAAATTTAATTTTTGCGTTATGTATTGATGTGAATGTGATTGCTAGAATAGCGGATTCGGAAAATATTTGTTTCTATGTATATCTCAATAAGTTTATCTGTATTCTATTATGCGGACAAGTAGTGGAATCTCAGCTTAGTTGGGATTTAGAAAGCAGTATGTAATATTGGCAGGATCGCCACTTTATCATTTCTCATCAAAATATATTCATATAAAATATACAAATACAAGGTATGTAAACACTACTGAATGTATAAATATAATATAAGGCTAGTCAGCCTCGATGCGATCTTAATCAATGGCCTAAAAATACACAGTCGTGTTAATAATAAGTCATACCTAAAATCTTCATAATTATTGTGTTAAAGTACTTTAATACTAAGTAATGACTGCACTGTAAGTGGTTTAAGCGGTCGACACGGTGCCGAGTGTTGTGGGTTCAAAACCCATATGGCACGACGCTTTGTGTGATCTACAAATTCTTGTTCTGAGTCTGGGTGTTCTTTGTGCCCGTTTCATGTATGTTTGTAAAGTCAGCGCGATACAGGATTTATTCCTAGTGCGGGAGCTATCTTTTAAAAAATCTACCGGGATTACCTACATTAGAACGTCTATTGATATCTCTCTCATTATATCACGATATCTGTCTCATTATATCTCCAAATCAACAACGCGTACCTAACTTGGAATATTCTAGCACACAATAACCCGGGTACAATCTAAGATTTGTTTTATCACTCTCTATACTCAACAGCTATTGTAATAGTTTTACGTCCTTGATTACGTTAAGTTCCAGGGAAGTTGACTAACTGAGACTGTCGTTAGAAGTATTACGGATACCAGTACTTCCTTGTATAAAACTTAAAAGTTAGTAAGTTTAGAAGCACAGAGAAAGAAGTCTTAATTAATTTATAGAAGAACCCTTCAAGTTTTATAACTTCAGTTATGAAAATATATTTCATTAGGGTAAAATTGCGAATGTGTGCACTTTTATATTACCAGGTATTGGCCCGTGGTAATGTAAATTTTGTTAATCAATTCATGTATCTGCAAGCGGGGGTTTGTAATGTTACCGCTACGCATTCGATTCTGGATCCCTGGACACCAGATTCAGGACAATTTTGAAACGTGATACATCTCAATTTTATATCTCTGTCACTTTGATGCACGTTGATGATGATTCATTTATATCAAACCTTGTTTTTTACCTTCATAAATAAATCTATTCGTTTTTAAAGTATAATTTATTATTAATGTATTTGATTTTCGCGGTAGTTGAGCTCCATAAGCTTTTAAATCACATGTGTAATTTTTGCGACAAAAGTGAAAAAATGAAAGTGAAAAAACATTTATTTAACACAAAGAAAATAAAATACAAAAGTGCTTAACAAGACTTAAAATAAGTGTAGCAGATCTTATCAGATAAATATTTTACGCGGTCCCCACCCTAGGCAAGCCTGTATCGTGGGGTCCCAGTCAAACGTATTTAGAATTTTAGGTTAAGGTATAGAGCTCCTGCACTTCACAATTTTAAACTTTTAAAAATAGAAAAAAAATTCAAAACTTTGATAAGCTATCTAAAATAAAACAATGAGACAATTTAACAAAAACAAATGCTTAATAATTAAGAGATCCCTTTTAAATTAAGTAATAATTATATCATAATATATATAATACCATATATAAATATAACCCATAAGGAATACTATTTATAAAATATACTTCTAAATATTTAAAAAAACTCAATATATAAATATGTTTTATGCTGTAGTACTTAACAACTTTTCTGTCGCTTCATATGGGAGTTTACTTAACCATTCATAAGTTTTTATTTTTGTATTTGGTACTGTATCCAGACGGATGTTACAGAATTTGGAAGCAATATTATAAATGTAGGCTGATAAAAACGGATAAAAGCGTTGAGCAAATTTAGTGCGACAAGCAGGTACATGTAGGTTAAAGATCGCCTCTTTAACCTACATGTACCTGCTTGTCGCACTAAATTGTCTGGTAATATCGTCATATTCCGGGGATGAAATAACTGTTTTGTGCACAAGTAATATGGTAAAGTATATAAAAAGTTTGCGGACACTTAAAAGTTAATTTTCCTCATAGAGTTTAGTGGTTGGGTATAGTCTGGACTTTTAGAGCATTATCTATATATATATAAGAGATTTCTACTTATATAGTCACTCATCACGATATCTCTGGAACCATTAGAGCTAAAGACTTGAAATTTGGTAGGAATATTATTTTCACCGAGTAGAGGTCAGCTAAGAACGGATTTTAAGAAATTAAAAAAAAAAAGTTTTTTTAACAAAAACAACGTGTGCTCTCTGAAATTGAATCACCGAGCAAACGAATTGTTTTATTACCCCTGGATAAGGTTTGTGAAAAAAACATTCTATCTTCCACATTCCTATTAATGTGATTCCTGTGTGCCAGTTTTAAGAAAACGGTACATCTATACTAATATTATAAAGCTGAAGAGTTTGTTTGTTTGAACGCGCTAATCTCAGGAACTACTGGTCCGATTTGAAAAATTCTTTCAGTGTTTCCCATTTATCGAGGAAGGCTATAGGCTATATATCATCACGCTAAGACCAATAGGAGCGGAGCACCAATGAAGAATGTTTCAAAAACGGAGAAAATTTATTACTATTGAGAGACGCAGACGAAGTTGCGCGGGTCAGCTAGTCTCAAATACTTACAGACACAGCAGACGCCGAGGCCGTTAGCGCAGTCACCAGACGCCTTGCCGTCTCTTTGACGACAGTCGTACTGGTTCAGGCATATACCTGCCTTCGCGATGTTGTAGCCTTCGGGCTGACACTCTCGTTCACCACCAACAGGAAAGAAGTTGAGAACTTTCCCGAGAGCCAGTAATCCTCCTGAAAATAATGAAAAAATAAAATTTATATAGCGAAAGCATACTTTTTGAAGTGGGGATAAGATTTGGGTCAATGTGGATCCTAATTCCTAAACGTTATGTGCACTAAACAGATTGTCATGTCATGATACAAAGGTAGTTAGTTTACAATTAGTTACTATACAATGAATACTATACTATACATGGTATTAATGGACATGATATTAATGTGTATTGTATGCTTTCAATTGAAATGTTACTGAGGGACTAATTTTGCATGCCTTAATCGGCCGAACATGATTTACTTTGCATCCAATGACACCTTAGATGTTACATGACTATGTATTATGTTCAGCAATGAATAAATAAATAAATGATACAATTTAAGTATACTATACAATGATAGTTTAAGTAATGCTGATCGCATACGCTACCACTGCACCACCGACTGCATCGGTGGTGCACTGGTAGTGTATGCGCCTGCTGTCCTGAGGTCTCGAGTTCGATTCCCGGGTCGAATCGAATGTTTGTATGATCTGCAAATATTTGGTCTGGAGTTTGGGTGTTCCCTATGTATAATATGTATGTATTTACAAAAAAAAAAGTATGTAAGTATTCTATCAGTCAATCTAGCTTTCATAGTACAAGCTCTGAATAGTTTGAAACTGGATGGCGTTGTGTGTCAGATGTCAAAAATATTATTGTCCGAAATATTATTATTATAATAATCATAAGTTTACACATCTCACACACGACAGTCTGATCCCAAACTTCGCAGAGCCTGTGATGTGGTAACCAGATTACCAGACTGCTGCTACACATACTTAAATATTTCTAAATACATACATATTGGTGTGGTGACGGATTAAGAATACAAATTGTCACCACCCCAATTCATCCCGTGGGTGTCGTAAGAGCCGACTAAGGGACAACTAAGCAGGACAACAGCACTGCAAAGAGAAGGAAAACTTGAAACAAACCCTATACCAACCCGTCTGGTCAGCGTGGTATAGTAGGCCAAAACCTCCTTTCTAAGAAGAGGCCTATGTCCAGCAGTGGACTAGTATAGGCTGTTGATGATGATGATGATGATGACATATTATAGATAAATTACACCTTTACACAGGAGAAATGATCGTGCTCGTCAAACAATTACTTGTCCTGGATGGGAATCGAACCCACGATCTCCGGCTCAGCAGTCACGGTCACTAATCACTAGACCAACAGGCCCGCCGATGAAATAAAAAAAGACATTCACCAGGGGCAAAATTCGACCGCCAGGCGATCTCTGGTATAAATAGGTTGATAAAGATAAGAAACATCGTCTGCAATATTTTCAAGTTCCAAATTTGGCCTTCAATTAATTCTAGAAACTGCGTAGGCTGGCTCTAACCATCTGTAAGTATTTATGATCCTTTGAACAATTTAAAGATTCTCTTGGTGGTTGAAAACTTTAAAGAACATTTAGGGATTATTTATTAGGAACAATTATCTTTAAATTCCGTTGAAACCACTACGGCACACGAAATACATGTCTAGTTCTTTAAAACACAAACCTACGTATTTTTTCTGAGAATTTTACTAACCAGCTTTCAAATAAATTATAGTTTTCACAAACTAAAACACATGCTTTTGAAAGTAGCCGAACTAAAAAGTAGAAAATAATTTGCCATAAGTTCAAAAAGAAAAATCATTTTGTCGTAAAAATGCGTGGAGTGCTAGATCTCAATTGTTGTAAAATGTTTTATTGACAGATATTGGTAAAAGTAAAGTTATTATATTATCAAATATATTGAAAAGCACTCCACGCTTTTTTACGATTTCGTTACATACATATGTACATATATACAGACCAATCTAATAAAAGCGTGTTGAAAAGTACCACCGTCTTCAATGTACCGACAACATTAGATACCAATTGTAACTGTATCTTGATACTTGATACCTTTTCTTCTTTGAATGAAATTAAATGGAAAGTACCCTTCAAATTAAAAAAGAATTTTCCAAATCCTTTTTTAAGCGACGGAGTTCTAAGGAAACAAATATTAAAAAAACAGCCAAATTCAGAACCTCTTCCTTCTTCGAAGTCAGTTAAAAAAGTAAAAAAATTATCACTTAGCATTTCGTTTCCCTCGAGTAAAAGTTTCTTTTGCTTTGGAGACGTTGCATACTTTCAATATGTATGTAAAATTTCATGAATGAATATTGAAAGAGACCTAGCATCGCAAAACCTTGATTTTTACTACTTTAGAGAAAGTAACTATAAACACAGTGAGTGTTTATGGTTAAAAAAAGTTTTCTTAACCAAAATATCTCAAACAAAAGCTTTTGACAAATCAGATTTAAAATACCAAATTATTTCATTCATCACCATTAACAGTTTTTGACAGTCCACTGCTGGACATAGGCCTCTTCTTATAAAGGAGGTTTTGTCTTACTAAACCACGCTGGCCAGACGAGTTGGTATAGGGTTTGTTTCAAGTTTTCCCTGTCTTTGCTGATCTGTTGTCCTGCGTAGGTTGCTCGCTTATTTGGCTCTTACGACACCCACGGGATGTATAGGGGTATTGAAACTCCATATTCATAATCCGTCACAACACGGATCCATCATCAAACTCATTACTATACATATTAAATTTACTTGAGACGGTTGACATCTTGTAATTAATTACGGGCTTGAACACGAATTCGCATTATCTTGTATATAAATAAAAGTACCATCTTGAAAGTATTATTTAATTCTCGCCTCAAAGCAATTTGCATAAGAAAAACAGCTCCTTATAGGCAAAGAGACCTTGTATCAAATAAAAAACAACATTTAAGGCTCTTGGGAGGCGCTGGGGCGTTAAGCTAGGGAGTATTCACCAAAAATATGGGTGTTTACAGGGCCGAATTAGAGAACGCAAGATAAAAATGAACAGATGCCAATTCTCGTAAAATATATTTTTTCTTGAGACTTGTAGCTTTATTGGTGAAATACAAAATCTGTATTGAGTGCCACTTTAAAGTGCATGAATGTTTAATGGATGGATGTTGACAACGTGCTAGAAAATTATATTAACAATTAAATATTATCTTAATATTAGCAATTGAATTGCAAAGCTCCGAAGGCTTTGTTTACTGTCGAACTCACGTCTAAAGTACAATGAATTTGATAACTAAGTTTATTTTGCATATATATCCTTTTAGAAACTTTTACACCTCGATTTATTTTTTAAAGCCAGAGTGTATCGGCATTTACTATGATCCTCTCATCCCTTGAGCAGTTACGCCAAATCAAACTCAAATTTAACACACTGATGCACATAGATGCATAATCCCATAGACACAATAATCCTCATAACAGTAATATAGCTATTAAGCTAAGAACCATAGTAAATAAATAAACAGGTTATTCAATATTATGAATTCCCTGACCTACTTAAACAAAAATAGTAACTCTTTCACTAATGAATAAACACACATGTTGACGTGCCCATTCAATTAGGTCAAACTGCGAAAACACTTGTATCAGTGACCTTTTGGTAAAAGTTTGCGTCATGTTACTAGAATACTTACTACGTACAAGCAACCTGATATCCATGTTTCCTATACAATAAACCGTGTACTGGCTTCTCATGCCTAAACAGATTTTTAACCATCACCCTCTACTTAAAAGCAAAACCTAAAGTAATCTAATCATTGCGACTATTCCAATGAAATCAAACACGACGTGTCCTAAGCTTTATAAGAAGCTGAGTATCTTGCTGATTCCAGATGATGGTGCAGCATCAGTAAAGGATCCCACCTATTTCTTTTTTTTCAATCGATCAGTCTAGCAGAAGTTAATGATACTCTACAAGGATTAAAGACGTGATAATGTTTATAAAGATGAACAAATTTTCTGGAATTATAGGTAAGAACTCCTGTGGGGTATGTTTCCTACGTGTTCTGTACATAATCACATCAACAGCCTTTAATAGTCCACTGCTGGACCATAGGCCTCTCCTTAGAAAGAAGGTTTGTTTGTTGTTTGGCTGTACATAATAGCTCGATGCTAAATTAAACACTTCGATAACTCTATCACTGTTTATTATTATAAAAGTATAACTGTACCAAGCTATGCTAAAATGATAATGGACGATTATATGCTCTGCTAATAGTTACGAATGCACCCGGTTTGCTGTCCGAATATGCAATGATGTCGCCGCGTACTTAAGGCGACCGCGTTAGGTTGCTAGATCAACAACAGGTGTTCGATTGTAATTATTGCATCGAACAACTCCATTGATCAATTGGTTTCTCAATTAAAAAAGTAAGATAAACGCAAGCTGCTCTAGCCGTTCATACATATGTCATAGACACATACACATTTACAGAATTGAAGTCTTGCAAAATAAAGCAATAAAAATACTTTATAACTACGACTACCTAACACCAACACTTAAAATGTACAAGGATACCAAAATCCTAACAATTAGACAACATTCTTAAAACTTGCATACTAATACATAAAATCAGAACACAAGGTACAAAGAAAAAACCTATACATACAACGCAAGTAAACGAAAAAACAAGTAACAAAGCCTAGAACCAACTATGGTTAGAAAAATATATTACATGAAGGTGTAAAACTTTATAATGAAATACCTGATGATATTACTAAAAGTGATAGCTTGTTTAAATTTTAAAAAAGTTTAGGAGATTACATTGGGAAAAAGTACTGACACCAATGAAGTTGTCTTTATATCTTTAGTTTTATATTACTGTAATAGTGTATTGTGATCACTGTGATACTTAACTAATTTATTGTGTTGTTACATTTTCTCATTATGTAAGTGAACTGTATTGTTCTTTCTATGAGAAATAAATCTCTTTAAACCGCAATATATGTAATGTTTCTATATAAATTGATAAAATGTATGTCTTAAATACAATTTACACAAAACACATATGGTTAGATGCAAAAGCGAATATTATTCCTATTTAAGTCCCACGTGAGTTCGTCTCTGGTAAAATGCAAGTAATGTCTTTGAATGCTCTTCGGCAAAGCATGTATAGTATTTGGATAATTTTCATATAAGAACACATGCAGATTTTCGCCTCTTATCTGCTACACTGGCACAAAGAAAAGCTGAAACAGTAGTTTTATTTAAAACGAAGTCGCTTAAAAGTATGTACCGCGTTTTTTATTTCGAGAAAATGGAAGAAGTAGAGCGCGTATTTAACTTTTCCATTTCCTCCGCGTGTAATACACGTGTTTCATTCTTGTAAATATGTACGTATATTATGTATGTATTTATAAGAAAAAAGTATATAAGAAGTGTTGCGCCATAGGATTGAGTGGTTCTTGTGTTGTGTCTGGGGGACAGCGCCATCTAGTATCAAGTGGAGCACAACGAACGTACAACGGACGCAATTCCGATACTTGCACTGCCGTCTAATGTCGCACATCGGAAGATTATAGACATTTGTAGATTCCTTATTGTACGTTGTTTTATCTGGAACATTCTCTGGATTAGTTTAGTAATTTCGATAGCACTATAAAAGCGGAGCGGGTTAGCCGTACGAGACAGTATTGTTTTACGACACAGCGAAATAACATCGAAGCGAACTTCTAGTGCGACTAACGAGTTATATAGTGATTACTTGTTTGTAGTGAGTGTTTGTAAATACAGTGCAATAAAAGTAATTAACCGACAACTTCTATTTATTGTATACCCCGCTCGTAACAGTATTCTATCAATCAATCTAGATTTTATAGTACAAACTCTGCTTAGTTTGAAACTAGGTGGCGTTGTGTGTCAGATGTCTGAAGAAATTATTATTATAAATGTTCTATTCTCTTGAAAAGTTTTTTTGAAAGCATCTCTCTGTATTGTTATACAAAATAATATTATACACCTACCACACATGTCAAAGACCTTATGGTTTAATCTGACTGTGTATGTATGTTAAAGTTAGTCTCACAGGGCTATATAACTTGAACGTAGAACAAAAAGCTTCGACACGTGGCGGGCTAAGCAGCAGTGATAATAATACAATAATAATATATTCCACAGGTCCGTGTAGTGACGGATTTAGAATACAGAGTGTGTCACCACCCCTATTCATCCCGCGGGTGTCGTAAGAGCCGACTAAGGGAGAAAACTACGCAGAACAACCGGACTGCAGAGAGAAGGAAAACTTGACACAAACCATAGGGTTTGTGTCAAGTTTTCCTGTTGGTATAGACCAACCCGTCTGGCCAGCGTGGTATAGTAGGCCAAAACCTCCTTCCTAAGGAGAGGCTTATGTCCAGCAGTGGACTATTAAAAGCTGTTGATGTGATGTGTGATGATGTGATATTCCACACATCTGACACACGGCAATCCAAACTAGGCAGAGCCTGTGCTCTGGTAACCAGACTGCTGATAAACATACTTATATATTTTTAAATACATATATATCATACACCCAGATACAGAACAAATTACCGTGCTTATCACACAATATTTGTCCTGGGTGGGAATCAAACCCAACACCGGCTTAGCAGTTAAGCCACACAGAAATCCAGTGTTAAGAATTGAATAAATAAAGTTCCCAGAAGAATAACTCATCCCTTTCCCCTCCCCTAACTATGAGAGGAGTCCTCAAAAGCCATCAACGAATTTGTGACTCCTGAATTGCAGATCTCCACGGACAGTGGTAGTAGATAGAATTATGTGACTCGTGTGTTCGGTTGTTCCCTATACCATTAAAGTGGTTCTATCACTTGCTTCATTATTCGAAAATCACTCACTCCCCCTCGACTCTATCTCTCTCTCTTACATGTTTAATTTAAGTATGACTTAATATATCACTATGGATGTTGTGAAATTAACTACAATATTATGTTAACGAGTAAGTATTCAGCAACGGAAGTGGAAGGCTTAGGGTTGTTTACTTTCGTTATTAGATCCCGTCAAGTATAACACGCTTTGTAAAGATAACAATCCCCTTTGCAGCAAGTTATAATCTTCTTAGATATTGAAATAATTGCATACTTTTAAGATATATACATTAACTGACAACAACTTGTAAGAAGTGCACTGTGTCTGGAGCATGTGATTAGATTTTGTAAAGAAAGATGAGATTATGAGATGATACTCCGTTAGAAGAGAATTAGAAGCCACTTAAGCTTTCAACGGAGCTCAAAAACAATAACGCGTTCATCACTGACGTAAGTTGCAAGCTGCACTCTTCTAAACTACTTAAGAGAATGATGAAAACTTCTATATTCCGTCAAAGCTAAGGTGGTTTTTGCAACTTATACTTTTAAGATGCAAAGAATGTTTCGCAAACCCCTATAACTATAACATTTCCGCAACAATTTTCACGCCGATCGCGCAAGGACAACATGGAAAAATCCAGCTTAATATTTACCAACTGCACTTCAGCATATTTGACAAGCTTTTGTTGTTAGTTGGCAAAAAGTTTCGGTATAAAAATCGTCAAAAAAGTTTAGTTCAAATAGTTTTATAAAAATAATATAGTATTTACTTAGAAACTGCCATCTGAGACAAGCTGTATGTCTGTCAAACACCACTTTTTCTAAGTAATGGGCAATGTTCTTAAACTATTTCTTTTTTAAACAAAAGCAACAGAAACTCCCAATCAATTTTAATGCTGAACTGGGGTAGATACTTTTTCTTTCTTTAATATACGACTCTATACACTTAATTTTTTTTTTTTTTTTTTTTTTTTATTTTTTTTTTTTTTAAAAAGACAACTCCCGCATTAGGAATAAATCCTGTGTCGCGGGGGACTTTACAAACATACATGAAACGGACACAAAGAACACCCAGACTCAGAACAACAATTTGTGGATCACACAAAGTGTCGTCCCATGTGGGGTTTGAACCCACAACACTCGGCGTAGTAGGCGTGGCGACCGCTTAAACCACTACGCCATCCGTGCCATCGCCATCGAATATTGTCTATTGTACACCACTAACAACATAAAATTTAATCGAATGTAATCTTATCATCTAGGTCAACAGTTACTAAGAAACTAGATTTACTTTTGATCATCTTAACAAAAACTTGTATTGTTTTGTGATACTTTTAATATAGATCTCGCTTTTTTAGGGACTTGCACAAGACTCCGGCAACATATGTTTGAAATGGCCCTCTTTGTTGGAAATAAAGGAAAGTGAATTTAAATATGTATCGCTCGCAATTTAGCTTACCTCAAATCATTTGATTACATATACTGATTTATCCAGACACTGAATAAATTAAAATTCATCTAAACTAAAATAGTTTAAACTCATGGATAATTCTAATAACGTCATATAATTCGGATAACATCAAATGTCAGCAGTGATAATTAGACGCTCGATCGAGTTCAGATAATGTCAAAACATTGTGCGTTCAAACGGAATGATCAGATATCAGCTGGTAATTGGCATCAGCTAAAGTGTGTTCGAAATGTTTTCATATTATTAGTTTATGTTTACACGTAGCTAATGCTCCTAACATATTCTGTGTACACATTTATGATAATTTTTATTTGTTAGTGCATCAGTATTGGATATTGTACTCTGTCGTTTGTACTATCGTTTCAAACATTTATTAAATACT